CATATATATATATATATATATATATATATATATATATATATATGTATATCACCACCCTGGTGGACCCTGGTATTGGTTTACTTCTAGCTAGGCTTCCTGATAGAAACGCCGGACTTCTTTTCATCTTGGGAGACCCTGCCGGCGGACGAATACCCCCGCTGTACAACGCAGTCCGACACCCAGGAACACCTCCCAGCCACGAGGCGGCAAACCGTTAGGAAGAAGCTCTGAATTAAAACACATAGAAGCAGAGATTTCGTTTCAAAATGGCCCACACGTCTTGACCACACCACATACTCGGTACAAGTCCACGTTACTTCAGTATGGACTACCGAAATTCAGCTATGCTTTTCGTTCCGAAAAAGAGAAGGAACTTCCACACAAGAAATTCAGTTATAACAGGAACTCAGCAAGACGACTTAGATTCCTCCTCCGATCTCCCATTAAAGGAATTTCAAACATTTATTCCTCCTTAGATGATCTTTGTAGAAGTCTGCCATCAAGAGCATTTACTTTAACCGATAGCCGGACCTTTAAACTTGCCCTCTTTGGACAACTGTGAGCAGTATTTCAGGGTCAATCTATTTCTTAAACGAGTTCCATAGGTTCCGGATGTGTTGGTAACGAATAATACTATTAAATTACATAAAATGATTGAAAACTAGCTGATAGAAAGGCGAAACAAGGGACCTGCATGGTGTGTTGGTGAACCCGTTAGCCGCCGGAAAAGGTAATAACGTGTTCATTCCCACTACAGACACCTGAGCTCCGGAGTTTTGCACATATCTCAGCATCCTTGTGGTTGTATATACCTAAGCGACTTCACCATGGTCTCTTCGTTAAAGTGTGAGACACCGTCGGCTTTCTTTTCGTCGTCTTGAAGAACAACTCCGTGGAATTTGATGTTGATCTCAAGAACAGCCCAAAATTCGGCACTTAACCACACATTATAGCGTTGGGTGTAGTTTATGAAGCAAACTACACGACCTATAGTGACAGATCTCAAATCTTTAGCTGCTAACCCAAAAGGGAAACTCTGATAACCTTAAGCGAAAATTAATACACAATTGGAAGCATGGAAATCCTTCACGTTTCCAATGATTTAACCCTTATAAAAAACAGAGTAGTTCGAAAAAAAAAATAGGATTCTCAAATATTCAGAAACGAAATGAAGAAAAAGTGTAGAAACACAGATATGCAATGTTGTCATGTACAAATAAGAGCAAATTTTTCGTACTGTAAACGACCATTGTACGTGCTATAAAAATTGCGCGCGAAAACAGATGATTTAAAATCTGCAGTTGTTACGACTGGCATCCACTTTCTGCTTCTACCGGTAGAATGCTTCCTTTTGTTTTTTCTTTACTTTTCATTTTTTTTAAAGCACGTCTTCCACATATCTTAGGTACCAATAATCCATAGTAGTTCATACAATATATCGGCTTACACAGCGTTGTTACACTTTTATTCGGCCAGTGTTTCATCCACCGGATTCGGCTCCATACGACCGTGAAGGGCCACATCAGAAGAATGAGTGGCGGTGAAAAATCGACTTGGATCAATTCTGCTTTGATCGCTGGGACGTTAACCGAGTAAGGGTTTCTTGTACCAAAATCTTGTCAACTCATGATTGCAACGAAATATCACTGATTATTCACGTTGAGACTACCACTTTCAGCATTATTCCTTCACTGTATTCTAGATAACATAGCACCGAGTGCTGCAGGCTAGGTTGTCGTGTTTAAAAAGTACCACTGTCGGTTGAGGTCTAGTCAACAACCGTCCTCCCTATGAGGCCACCACTGAGTGATTTTGCTTTAGTAGAGCGATGCTCCCCTGGATTTGATTGCATTTTTCGCTCATGTAACATGTTACGTCGCTTTCTTTGCTACTTATTGCTTCAGAATAACTCCGTTCTATTATTGAGCTGTTTTCTACACGTTCTTAACCCGCCACATCCCCAACCTCCCTTCTTGAGATGTGGTTTCTAGTAGTTTGTATTTTAAAGATGTTTGTGATTTAGAAATCGGCTTTTAGCTCTTACAATCTGAATTTGTTCGCTGAAGTGGTGTCAGCCTTTTCAGACTGCTTTAAAATGCAGTCGGATAAAAAGAAGTCAATGGGGGCTGCCAGATGGAGCGTGTCGAGTTCAGCAATGAAGACGCCGACGAGACCCCGTTTCACCATCGGCGGCACGCAGATCAGCTCGTCATCGAAAGCGTGAGGTTTCAGACTGATGATCTCTTAAGATTTTCGCCCAGTTCATTTCATTGGATGAAGGCATTGTGGTAACAGATTAAAGTCAGTTGGCACTTGTTGTTCACTTGTGATGTGAATTATTTATGCCCAACTATCTGCGTAAGGTTTGTGGTTGAGAGAACAACATCCTTTCATTTAATTGCTATCAAGAAACATATGATTATGAGGGTGTTCTCTTTGCTTCGCTCTACTTTTAAGCAACACTATTTTCATAAGAGGATGTTTTTCATAGTTGTCATTTTGTGACAAGGAATTTGCTGTTAAATGCTTTATTTTTTAGTAATGTTGGCAGTAGGGGTCAAGCTCGGTTCAGTATCAGTGGGGCAGTTCCCGCCAGTGCTCGAAGACATTCGGCCTTCAGATCAATCACGTGCACTGTTAAGGTGAACATCTGCTCCATTTTTTAAATGTTCTAGTTTTTTATTGTGGATCATGGACGCGTGTACCGCAGTGGTTGGAGGCGCCCTACAATGCAGCTTGGATCGATCTCGTACCCCAGGCTCACCAACCCTTCCATTCCTACGTGGTCGGCAAATTGTTACCAAACCTGTCTGGGAGGATCGCAGCACTGGCTCGATACATCAATAGGCCATCGTGAGTCATTGTAAAGGCCACATACGCATTCAATTACCTCAAACGATGCTTAATGATGTTGAATGCATGAAGCACCTTTCAGGGGTTGATCAGCGCAGAGAGCTTTATCCTTTTATTCTTTCATTGCGGATCATTTGGTTAGGCGCACCTCTCAATGAGTACGGTGTTTTTGTAGGATACGAGACCACTGTCTTCTAAGGAGTATCAAAATGAAATGATTCGAAAGATCTATGATTTTCTGCTGCAGCATGACGGAGAGGTAGATATACGTGTGGTCACGGAAGCTTTTTACTTTCGTTTCTAACGTTTTTCAACGTATTTCGTTTTAGAATTGTGTGCCTGAAAGAGTTATCAGGTCGCCTACCAAGCAAGACTTCATTTATATGTTCGAGAGCATCTACCAGCACTTAAGTCCTAATTTGCAGATCAAAAATGTGCACGAAGAGGTGAGAAGTAGTGCTGTACAGAATTCCATTCACATGTCATGCTATTTCTTAGTGCTTTTCAGTGTAGTAAAAATCGTCGTGTGGAAATAGTAGACATAATGTTAACCTTTTATTTGCTGCCTTCTGTAATTTTTCACGGCAAGGTATGATGTGAAATACAACCGTCAGTGGGGCAGTGTGTTATACGCGAGCCACCGGAAAGGTTAGACGTGGGTCGATCTTGCCCGGGATCCAAGTTTTGCAAATACCTTAGCATCGGTGTGGTTGTACTTTACATCATACCCTGCCGTGAAAAATTATGGTAGGCAGAAAATAAAACGTCAAAATTTTTTGCTTGCCTACAGCCTCAGCTGAGCTGGATTCAGTTACGATTTTTGGTCTCCAGATCAGTCCCCCTGACGGTGATTGCTGATGGCAACTTTAGGTAGAAAACTAGCTGAGAGAAACGCAAAGCAAAGATCTCCGTGGCGAAGTGCGTAATAGACGAGCCCGGAGAAAGGGTAATCGTGGTTCGATCTGGCCATGGGTCCAAGTTTTGCTAATATCTCAGCAGACAATTTTAATTACACAGTAGTCAATCTCTATCTAGATAGGTACTATTCAAGTACAAGAATCTCCCGTAAATCCACACGATTCATGCAGGTGCCAGCGATTTTCCGGGAACTTGGTTATCCAACTGCGATCAGACCAAGTACGATGCAAACCATCGGTGCGTCACACACATGGCCCAACTTACTTGGTGCGCTGACATGGCTTATTGAAGTAGTCGAGGTGAGTGCAGTAACTCAAGCCGTAGAATAATTTCAAGTACGTGGTTTTTATTTCTGTGGTCATTTTGCAGCTTAGTAATCCACTTCAAGGACAGGCTGGTCAGAATTTGCTGCTAGGTGGAGATGACTCAGACGGTGCTTTGAAAGCGGTTTGTGCTGTTACATTACTTGGATACATAGACAGCTCGTCCTCACTGGTTGTGCGGATCCCACTGTATTCTCCATTTCTCGGAGTTTCGCTGATTTAGCCGTTGTGTTTCTCTGGAGTCTCGAGGTCAGCCTAGCTAAATTCCGCCTCTTGGTCCTCGCCACCACAGGCAGTCGTCGCCATTGTGGATCAGAGGGAGATTCAACTAGCTTGATACCAGGACGGTGGTGGATCCTGGTATTGGTTTACTTTTAATTAGGCTTCCTGATGGAAACGCTTGACTCCTTCTTAGCATGGGAAACCCTGCCGGAGGGTGAATTCCCTGCTGTACATCGCAACCCTACACCCAGGAACACCTCCCAGCCACGACGAGGTGGTGAACTATTGGGAGGGTTCTGTTACATTAGGCGTAAAATACTGCGTTTTCCACTTTCTGCGTTGCACGAACAGCCTTGTATCTGCTCGTCAAGAAAACACCTGTTTTCTGTGTTTCATAGTTTACGCTTCCTTGATTATTTAAAAGCGATCTTTATTCTTAAAAACGCAACGGTGCTGTGGTATGAACAAAACTGGGACCCCAGACTAGCTTCGAGCCCATGGCTACTCCTGTGGGGGGCTCATGGGCCATCCATCACAACAACCGAGGGCCTTGGTTTGCCTTTTTCTCATTCAATACTTTAGACCATCGGTGCTATCAGCAGTCATCCGTCAGCAGCAATGAGACGTAATTTCGACTGCAGTTTCAGCTTAACTGGGTCCAATACCGATTTGTGCTCCACGGATCATTCCCGTTGATAGCTGACAACTCACTGCACTGGTAGTGCAAAAACGTGGCCGAGAAAAAGGCAAAGCAAGGGTTTAAGTTGGTGTGGTGGATAACACGTGAACTAGTTAGGTTAATCGGGGATTCGAAAAGCAGGAGAGGTTCCAATTTTTGCTGATGTCTTGGCATCCTTGTGGTTGTAGCTCATCGTCTTATACTGCAACGAAAATAGGATGGGTAGTAAATGAAAGTTAAGACATTTTGATTTATACGTTTGAAGTTTACCTCTTCACTTATTTAGATGCAGTGGACAATTTTCAGCTTGTTTTAGTATAAATACAGTTGGTTGAATGCAGGATTCAAGGACTATCAGAGGAATAGAAACGCGGTAAACAACGAAGGATTTTTCGACGGTTGGTTTGGTGACAAAGACCCTTTTATTGTTGCTCTAATATCTTTATAATTATTTCATGTTGGCGTTTAGATAAGATTCGAACTCTTCGTACGTGGTGCGAGGAGCAGGAGGATTTTGATGCTCAGCAGTACGTCATACAAGCTGCTCTTGAGCAAATAAAAGAGGAGTGTGCAGAGTTGGAAGCAAATGTAAGTTGCCTAAATTTTGCTTACTTATTTGGATACTTGGACGATCCGTCCTCACCTGTTGTGCGAGCTTCTCCATCTTTCGGAGTTCTGCTAAGTTAGCCATTGTGTTTCCCTGGAGTGCCGAGGTCAGCTCTGCGTAAATATTAACGTGGAGAAATGGGTTGTCGTTTCACTTATAGCAGTGTAGACTTAACCAAAGTGAAGAATGAATAATTTCGTTCTTAATGTATTCGTCATTCGGTCTTTTTTTTTTTTAACAATTTTTCTACTTTTGGCTGTTTACATTTTATTGTTCTAGCCTTGATTTCATCCCAAAGTGTTGAGATGTACTCACGTTCAGAAAGGAAGCTTGGAAAGTCTTCGCGAGGACATTGCTCAATTGGACGACGATATTAGCAAAGCTACTCATTACAAAGAGGAAACGGAACGGGATGTAAACCGACTAGCGGAAGAAAATGTATGGTTTACAAATGACGCCATTAACCATTTTTTGTCCTCATTTTACCAGTGGAATATGTCTCTATTTTATGGGACGACTGGTCTTTTTAAGAATGTCGTGCAAAAAGAACTGGAAGGTGTTGCTAAGACAATGAGTGAAGGACAGTCGCGTCTTGCTGAGCTTGAGGAACTAACGAAAGTTCAGGAGGAAAGTACTGGCCTTCGCAGTAACGAAGCTCGGGAACTTATGGCCGAATTTGACCAGGCACCTTATTTTGACATACGCGTGATTGGCGTAAATATCATAAACGTAACTGTCTCTCCGAATAATTTTCATCTAGAACAAGCTTACTATGAGGAAACTGAAAGACGAGTTGGATTACCTATGTAAGCAGCATTGGTTGGCCGTTCCTAAAAGCAAACGCGCATTTGCCGAGGTATGGTCCAGATTTTCCTCGTTTTTATTACTTTATTTGCTTTTGCTTTTATTGCTTTTTATTGAGAGATTGGTGGAATGTATCTGGTGTTTAGTAACTCGGCACATGTTTTTCAGCAACATGATCGCTATCACAAGCTCATGCTAAGTATCAAGAATTTTCACAACTTTGCGCATTGTGAAGATGCATTCATGATGGACGACAATGTGGAAGATGAAAGGTTCTGAGGGTTTATATTGATTTTTGAACTGGGGCTTTTCATTTACGCGCTTTCCACGTGGTGCAAACCATCGTGGTGAACATAACACCAGGATGTCTTGCGTTTCTGTGCTGCTATTTTGTTAACCGAATAGTTACTACCCTGTTTAATGAATATATCTTATGGAGTTGCATGAATCAATGGTGCAAAGCTTACTTGATTACCTGAACGGCCCGTCTTCACTGGTTGTGCGTACCTCAGCATAATCTCCTTTTTCGGAGTTGGTTTAGTCATTGTTGCCCTGGAGTCTCGAGGTCATCCTAGCTCAGTCTGACTCAGATCGTCACCACCCACAAGTAGCTGCTGATCCTGTGGATCAAAGAGAAATTTGTCAGCATGAGGCCAGGTTGATATCGGGACGGTGTTGGGTCGTGGTATTGGTTTACTCTTAGATGGACTTCCTGATGGAAACGCTGGACTCAGCTTGGGGGTTCCTGCTGTCGGAATGAATTCCTCTACTTTAGATCTCGTAGTTCGACACCCAGGAACACCTCCCAGGTATGATGAGGTGGTAAACCGTTGGGAAGAACGATGCAAAAATGTTGTAGAAAATAAGAGTGTAGTGGATTGATACTGTGCATATTTCCGGAACTTGCGAAATTTTCTTTTTTGATGAGGAGAAACGGAAGAGCCCTCTTTATCAGAACTTTAACAATTTCATGAATTGTTATTGGATCGACCAGCGAACGTAACTTTCTGACCATAAGGATGATAAGGTTTGTATGGATGCTTGATGATTTTAGGGCTCTACATGCCGCCGTATCGAACGTCAAAGCCCTCCTCGGAGCCATTGAGACGGGATTTGTGCAGCGAAAATGGGATATGGCACAAGTCATAAGACAATCTATATTCGAATTAGAACCTATAAAGTTAGAGTGCTTTAATTTCAACGTGATTAGTATCTTTTGAGCCTTTTTTCAGACAAGAATACAACGTGGTATGTGGTAAATTCCGTCAGAGACAACGAATGGAATCGCGTGCAGATCGACAGAGGGAGCGAGACCGAGAGGATTGGAACAAAGATTTGATGGCTGCAGAAGCTGATTTGGGTATATTAATATGTTTCTAATATCTGGTAGTTTCTTTAGTTTACTAATTAATATCGGCTTGTGTTCAAGTTGATTCCACTTTTTTTTCCCAACTTTTGACATTTCTTCATCCCAAGGTCCTTGTTTTATCTTAAGAATGCTAGTTTTTCACCATTATCGTGGTCCTCGCGATGGACGCGCGTGGCGCAGTAGTCCGAGGCACCCTGCGAGAGACACACATACACATATATATATATATAGACATGGTATCGGCCCCTGAACCCGTGGCTCACCAACGCTTCCATCTCTGCGGGGTCGGCAAATTGGTACTAGAGTTGCCTGGGAGGATAGCAACACTGGCTCGATACATTGGTAGGTCACTGCAAGTCATTGTAAAGACCAGATATGCATTCAATCACCTCCAAACGGTACTTAATGAAGTCCAGTGCATGGCGCATCCCACAGAGATTGATGAGCGCCGAGAGCTCTATCATTTCACTTTTTATTCTAACCTCCAACGGTTTGTGGCTGGTCACGTTCCTCTTTGTTACACAAAGTAGGATTAGTCTCCGCTACAATAACGTAGCCGGGAATCACTACCATATCGGCAGAAACAAAGTCACTAGCTACCAAGTGATGACGATCTGGGATTCATCTAACGCTGCTTTTAAGACTCGAGGAAAGCATCTTACATAACCGCAAAAATAACGGTGGAATGAATATTTTTCCTTATCCCGCACGATTTTTTGTGTTTGGTATAGACGAGCCATTCAGTTATTTTTGTTTCAGCCCGCCTTGAAAATGAAAAGGATGTTTTGGAAGACAAACGTCACGAAATCGACAGTTTGAAACGGGTTTGTTGTTATGTATCTTGATATATTCATATCTCATAATTTAGTTTGTCGGAGAATAAGAACTTATGAGCAAAAGAAATAGTTGTAGAAGTTCTCGACCTGTTAATAAAGCCATAGGTTTAGGACGTGGAGAGGCAAAAAGCTGCAAACCTGGAACAATCAAAACTTTTAGCTGAGAAGCAGTCGAAAATAAGTGAGGAAGTGTCATCGAGATTCCATCTAATCGTTAGTGATCTTGATAAGATGAATGTAAGCTTTTAAGGTTGCTTCCTCTTTCTCTTCCATCTTTTCTTGTTTGCAAGTTTCTGTTAACTGTTAACGTTTTAACTTTACCCACTACTAACGCAGTTTGGCACGTTAGTATTTTTGGTTTATAGCGTTGAAATTCCATTGGTTCTAAAAGAGGGATTAGTATTATGTTGTGCAGAGTAGATTCTGCATAACTTGTTTAAAGTTCTGTTAATTATACCTTGATAATCGTATTGTTTAGGAAGCTCGAGACTGGATGATGAGGACGATGAAAGGCTTCTGCGACATCAAGTTTCCCACCGACGAAGGGTTGCTTGAAGATTAAGAACGGCTTTTAATGTCCTTGAATGGCGACTATAACTACTGTTCGTTTTTTTTGCAAGGTATACAACGGTATTTTCACATGTCTTTGTGGACCAATACCGTTTTGTTTCGAAATGAAGTGGTGCAGTGAAGAACAGCAGAGGGCATTTACACTATCAATATTTCAAAATTATATATAAATATTTCGAAAACCGACTTTGCTTTAGCCGTGACATTGTTGATGAATATGTATTATTCCACTGATAAGCTAACACGAGGTTGGTGAGAAGGTCTACTTGGGTAATGCTTCGATGTCTTCGTCTTCTTCAGAGCGGATGGTCCACAGTCACTCATTCTGGCGATATAGTGTCTTCGTCGTAGTATTGCGTCCAATTTTCTTCAGTGAAGAACCGCTCGAATAAAGCGATTTTGGACCATCTGTTCGGATCATCGGATCTGAAGAAGGCGAAAATGTCTAAACGTTAGCCGAATAAATTTTTTGATATCAGCTTTTGTTAGCTTACCAATGAAAGAAATATATTTCTTTCCTAATGAAGGTGTCTAAGTTCCTGCAATTGGTAGACCCAGGTTTTCTCCAGAATACTGCATTGAACGTCACCAAGGTGGCTTTTCTGTCAATGATCCAACTGAATTCGTCAAAGATGTGTGTTTTTCAAATGGCGGTTTTCAAACAGGGGCCAACTTTTCTTCGGTGTAGTAGTTAGTAACCATCAAGAATTTACAACGTGACGGTAGGTACGAGGTTTGCGTTCATAAACTGAGATGACGAAGTAGAATTTGATCTCCGCATAGATTTGAAGCAATGGGGCGCTGCAATTTCTCATATGGATTTGAAATGGCTCAATAAAGAAATGCGATGAGGATCCAAGCGCCGCTCTTCATGCGATGTTTTTCGATGTTTTCTTAGTTGAGAATCCACAGCGTTTTTGTGTTTTAGCAAACTTTACAAAGTAAGAAGTATATGCTTGCTGTAATCGGATCGAACTCGTTTACTTTATTTTTTATGAATTGTGGGAATCAGACTGGGAGGTGTCAGGAATGTAAGGAGCTAGATTATCGATTTGTTTGAAATCTTATGAAACAGTCAAGATGGGACATGTTCCAAAGGTCAATTTCATGACTTTTAAGGAGTAATGCATGGGCGGAGGGCGCAATGCGACAAACATCGCGTTTACGCATTGGGATTGACAACTACACAGTCTGGGAGCACTCAAATGCATCAGTTTTCTGAGCCGTCGAGATATCGTTCAAGTGGAAACTGTGTTGGAGACTGATGCCGTAATGCTTAGATATCGAAGAATTCGTGTTCCACATTACTTTCTTTCATAGTTGATCTTTTACGTTTCATCTCTTGTGCTTTCATTCACTACGGTCTACTGAAAATTACTGCCATTTGAAATACAATAAACACAGTCCGTCGTTTTTAGATATATAGTGTAAAGCAACATTAAAATAAGGGCGCCTATAGCGCAGTAGTCAATGGTGTCCTACAATGCCTGGGTTCAATCCCTGTTCCCAGGCTCCAGAAGTTTTCTGTCTCTCCAGGGACGTCGAATTGGTGCCAGATTTTTCAGGAACGCTAACAGCACTGACGCGATACATTCACCGGCCAACTAGAGTCATTCTGTTGGGCAGATAAGCATTTTTTCACCTAAAACGGTGCTATGAACTCGAATGCATTGTTGGGGGAAGGGTCGTTGATATAGGAATACCAAGTAGTTACGAAGATTCGGTTGGAATAAGCTGCTCGCCTTTGTCTGTGCCACGCGGGACTTCTTGTGATTAGCAGTCTGCCGGACATTTCAAACTTGTGTAATTAAACTGTCTTTCATAATTACACAACAATTGGATACAAGTAATGATTTGCCGCGACCTGATCACTGGTGTTCAGGTTGCTTATGAGTGAAGAGGTTGTCATATGACTTCTGCTACATGAGATGGATATACCTTTTAAGCTGGGCCGAGTCAGGCTACAGTATGCGGAAAGATGGGTGCTGGAAACATTTCTCAAGCATTGCAATCTGATAAGGCGGTAGTCAAAGCATGGGACTGTAACTGCAGATATTTCTCATGAGATAACTGCCATCGAAATATTAAACATATGGATATCGGATCGTCATAGGAGAAAAGGTCACCTGAAACAGTATTCAGAATATTTGACATAAGGTTATCAGATCGTCATAGGAATATGGTCACCGGAAACAGTATTTTAAATGTTTTACATAGAGAACATTCCAATGTTTGTGAAGAATGTTCTCTATATGCGTGGTACATCACCCAAGGATTGCTCAACGCCGAGAGCTCTATGCTTTTTTATTCTTTGATGTTAAAATAACGTTTTAGTTCAAGATTCGATTTTCGTCTTTCGATGTCAACAATGCGTGCGAAATCTTGCAGTTGATCGTCTATTTCCTCACGGCTAGCGACCAAGTTTGGGTCATACCTCCATGTGGTGTTCCTGAAATATTCACATCAGAAGCGTCGTACAGGACACGAAAATCAAATCTGTTCTTCTCTTTGCATATAATAAGTCTAGTTCAAAGGGTAGAAGGATAGTACCCCTACGTACATTACCTTACGTCCGCATAAAAGGCGTCTTAGTGGGAAACCCAAAAATCGACAAAATACTCTAGGTGCACATAAGGCACAAAAGCGCAATGATGATAGTTTTGAAGTGCTCTCACGATCCGAGCGAGGGAATCGAAAAGTTTAACATGCAAAATCCTTAAAGCATTTTGGAAAAAATTCAAAAATTGAAAGATGAATCGAAAAGACGAATGTCTCACTATTAGACGTAGCTTGAGCCTTTTCCTCGGTTGATGTCTTCATCTGGGTGGATCTTAATCGTCATCTCACGTAAGCAACACACAGGTGATTTCACACCTTACAAAACGGTTAGTTGTTTCTTACAAAATGGCGTTTATTGACACAACGGATGTCCATTAACACTATGGATACATTAGCGAATACTATGGATAGGATTACACAAAATACGTCCACGAACCAAAGAAAGCGAAGTCGCCGAAAGCCTAACCATCGAACGGCAGCAGCAGCAATAACTGATGCCAACCTCGGTTCAACTCAACAAGGGAAGTTCGTAAAGGTCACATAAATGAATTACTAATGCCGAGATTTGTAGAAAGTTGGTCTTTCGAATCCCAATGGTTTACCGCCTCATCGTGGCTGGGAGGCGTTCTTGGCTGTCAGACTGCGATGTACAGAGGGGGATTCATACCACCGGCAGTCTCCCGGGCTGAAAAGGAGTTCAGCGCTTCCATTAGGAAGCCTAGCTAAAAGTAAACTACTACCCTTATCCACCACCGCCCTAGTATCAAACTAGTCGCATGGTGGCAAATCTCCTTCTTATCCATAAAAGTGGCGACTACCTGTAGTGGTGACGATCTGGGGCAGACATTGGCCAGGTTGATATCAGGACTCCAGGGAGCTACGATAGCTAAACCAGCGAAACTCCGAAAAGCGGAGATTGTGCTGTGGCCGCACAACCAGTGAGGACAGGGTGTCCAAGTGTCCAATTGTCTAAGTGGTCTTTCGAATTTCTTAAATGGTTGAAGTCAACTTGATTTCAATGCGACATTGTGCGCTCTTGAAATGTAACCGCCTTCGAAACCAGTCTTGCAATGGTCAGAGAGTCGATATATTGTAGCCTTTAAACCACCATCTTTGACCCTTGTTTCCAAAGTAAAATTTCACGCCTTTCTTACCATGTTACTTCAATTGTTCAAGCTACATTTTTGCTGCGTCCTTTTTTTGTAATGTTTCAAAGTTCACTTTGAGCCCGAAGGCGGATTATAATTTCGAACTTTTCCTCGGCAAGAGAGCCATGAACGATTATATTGGTTATGAAAGTTATGTGATCGGAGAGCATTAAAAAGTGTTGGGGCGTGGTTGATGGTGCTTGCGTCAAGAGCGACCACCTGAAAATCTTATTTGGCTCAAATCCATGCAATGTGGTTCGAGAATTTTCGAAATGACTAGGTGTACGTCAAACAACACTTTCGACGGTACCAGGAATTTTCGTGCGAGAACAAACTTAGGCACACATGCATGCTTCTCTATGTACGTATGCGAAGGTGATCCTCTTCAGTAGCAAGAATTTCATCATCTTCATTTCACGTTAAAAAGAAGGTCGCTTCCTATCCGGTTTCAATCCAGTACAGGCACCGTGGTACGCCTCAATTTCCTGCGGGCTGGCGATCACTGGGTGAGAGACGTTCGTGAAACGGGTTAACTTACAAAATTAAGCCCTTAGATATATTTCACCGCACCAAAAATTGTTACCCCCAAGGATAGCGTTTCACTCCTAGGATTTTATGAAAAAAATTTAGATATTTATAATAATGCGAGGCAGATAGCATTCGGAAGCAGTGATAATTATTTCGATTACTGAGAGTGCCTACCCAGGAGCGCAAAGAGACAGTTCAAGCGGCCCATCGATCGGATTGTACCACGTTGAATATTCTCCCCCTAGCGGTCTGAACAAAAACGTTCTGTTATTGCTACACTGAAAGCCCCAAGGCATATTATTTTTAGGCTTGAATTTGACGAAATTCTTTCGTTCCATTGATTTTTTCGGTGTTGAATTTGTTTAAGAATGATGTAGCAGTTTTTACTTACAAAAGCAAAACGTATAAAAGATCACAGAAAACATACCGAACTGGAATTTCGGAATAATTTTTTAGATCTTGAGTTTTCCAGTTATGAATCATGAAGTCACGCTCCTCGTTCCACTTACTGTTCGTTATCCAATTGTCACGGACCCATGCTGTACCCTAGAACTCCACGTTTTCATTCTTCTTTCCTTTATCATCTGTGGAGATACCGTTCATTTGAACGAACACAGGAATGCTTTTCTTTTTCAGTTAGAAAAAATAGCTACCATCAAGCTACACATAGCTGTCAACACTAAACGCAGGTAGGTAAACGGGCGTCATTTCTCCGACCTCGAAAATGCCCCCGATAAGGCTGCGTTCTGTAGGACGA